AGACAAGAGTCAGGGGGGGAAGGAGGAGGAACAGGACAACGGCGAGGAAGCGGAGGAAGACGAAGAGGGCGAGGGCGGGGACGAGGAGCAGCAAGTCCATGCTGAACAGGAGGAAGATGACGAGGGTGAGGGGGAGGATGAGGAGGAGGAGGAGCAGGAAGATGACGAGAGTGAAGGGGCAGAAGAGGAGGAGGTGCAGGAAGTCGATGAGGAAGTGGAGCCAGAGGAGGAGGGCAATGGGGGGGATGAGAGACCGGAAGACACAGATAAAGTCAAGGAGAACCAGCAGCACCAGGCAGGAGGGAGCTGTGCTGCACTGTACTGTACAGTACAGTACTTTACTGTTCTGTACTGTAATGTACACCTCAGTGCACTGCAATACCTTACGTACTGTACTGTACTGTACTGTAGCTGTACTGTGCAGTACTGCACTATATCTGCACTTTTGGTCTGCCTGAAGGATTCAAGGCCTCAGCATCACGAGACTATGCTCTCCATTGGCAAAATGGATATTCTTGACAGCATCTTCCAGGGAAAGAAAACCTTGGAGATCCGCAACCGGCGATTGCGACCTGGGCGCATGTGGGTGTGTTTGAAGGACCGCGTCTACGGCACCGTGGATGTGGGCGAGGCCTTCCTCATTTCTGACCCGAAGCTATGGAAAGCCCATAGACCACACCACCTCGTGCAGAGCAAGGTGCCACTTTACGGAGACAAGACGTGGGCCAACCCCGTGTCCAACCCGCGTATTCTCGCAGAGCCTCTCGCCTTCTCTCGCAAACACGGTGCCATCGGCTCTGTCAAATACAGGCCAGCGGAGAAAGTCAAGAATATGAAGCAAGACTCTGAGGAGGAGGAGGAAGAGGAGCATACTTCAGCTTCGCCTACCAAGAAGTATGCTGTAGCGGTCCTGTCGCGCAATCTGATCGACAGGGCGCGCAAGTCTGCGAACAAGAAGTCGGAGAGCTTCGAGCTACTCACGACTACCAAATACACTGCTGGTGGTGAGATGCTCTTGGTGCAGACAAGGACAGACGGCAAAGTAGCGATCCAAGCTTCGCTCGTTCAGCACAAGCGGCTGACGAACACATCGGAGCTGCACAAAACTGCTGCCTACAAGCAGGCCACGGAGCCGGAGCAGAAGGCGTGGAAGGCCAGGATGCATCAGCACCTCGCTGTGTACATTTGCCAGCTGAGGAACATGCGAGCCCCGGCGGGAAATCTGCGCCTGCGATGCGGCCACGGCTGCAGAAAGACAGTGGCTGTGGAGTCCGACGTGCTTGAAGACTCCACAGCCACTCCAGAGGCAGAGATCCCTGCTCTCAGTCTCCGGGAGACAGCTCGCTTCTTTTTGCAGCGTCTGTCGGAGGCAGATCGAGAGAAGCTGAGCGCGACCATCAAAGGGCTGAATGGCTGCCAGATCAAACTGGGCAGCACTTGCTCTGGGACAGATGTGTGCGTGAACGTGTTCAGGCACACGCTGCAGTTCCTGGCCGAGCAACAACAGGCCACCATAGAGCACAGCATAGTACTGTAGTGTACAGTACAGTATACAGTACTGTACAGTACAGTAGTTCACGCATTCTACAGTACAGTACTGTACTGTGTGCGTCTGGTAGGCAAAGTGGATGGCAACACCTTTTCTATAATTTCTGTTGTCTAAACTCTGCAGAGAACTGCAGATAGCATATACTCTCCGGCTGCTGGGGTGGGTTCCTGCCAGAAGCTGCCATGACCACTGTCCAGTACAGTACAGTACTGTACTGCATAGTACCGTGTATACTTTCCTGCAATGTGTCGTGTGATATTTTGACGCGCTGGTATCCATCGACGTCAAGCATGTACTGGCAGTGGAGCTGGATGAAGGCAAGCGCGGCTTCCTGACGCGCGTTCACAAGCCCACCTTCTGCCTTTTCCAAACGGTGGACATGTTCGCCAAGGGCAAGACTGCGTTCTGCTACACGTGCCAGCGAGCGCACGAGGCACCTGACGTCGACGTGCTTGTGGTCGGCTCCAGTTGCAAGTCTATCTCAAGGATGAACAACTCGCGGACAGAATACAAAGACTGTTGCTCGGCGCAGCGTTGGTGTTTCCTTGAACGGCCACACTGTACTGTACAGTACTGTACGTACTCTACAGTACAGTACAGTGTGCACGTGTCAGAACGCAGTACTGTACAGTACTATACAGTACCGCACACTTGTACTGCAACCTGCTTTACTGCACAGTACTGTACCGTACAGTACAGCGCTGTAATGTGAGGTGTCGCATGGCAATCTGTCTTTGTCTGTGCACATGCAGGCTACCAGAAAGGCAAGGGCTGCTCTGGGACCACGTACCAGAATGGTGTCCTGAACGCGGGCAAACAGTTGGCTCCAGCCCTTCTCTTCTTTGAGCAAGTCACAGGTATTTTGGATAGGCCGATGCAAAAGAACGGCAAGAGAAGGACTCCTTTGGTCCAGGCTGGTCGAGGAACATGACTGTTACACCAGAACCCGCGGCAAAGTGGCGAAAGCTGTCCGAGACCAAAGCTGCAGCCACTCCCGGTGCAGACTGGTTCTCAGGCCGGAGGCTGAAGCGAAAGACCTCGCAGAACACGGCCTCGTCCGCATGCGACAAGCCCGCCACGCGGGCAGAAAAAGTGTTGGCCGTGTACGCTCCTTCCGTGCAAGAGCAGCGGAGGCCGAAGGCACAGAAGCAGGCACGCAAGAGCGCTAACATACAGTGCCAGGGCAAGAAATCGTGCTTGGATATCTTCCACAAGGTCAAGCTGTTAGACGAAACTCAGCTTTGCAGTGCAGTACAGTACTGTACTGTACTGTGCAGTATAGCCCCATCCGAATACTGCACAGTACTGTATACAGTACAGTGTTGTACAGTACAGTACTGTACTGTGTACAGTACTGTACAATACTGTGCCACAGTACTATACAGTATAGTATTGTGTGGAGTGCAGTCAACGTGATGCTGTGCAGCTCAGGAATGGGAGGCGGCCAAGAAAGACCCAAAGATCAAGTCGGCAGAGAAGTACATGCTCCAGAAGCCCAGGACCTGTGCTTTCCAAGGATGCTTTGGCCGATGGTCCAAATCTGCCGTGCACTTTGATTGGAGGGCGTTCGTGAAATGCGCGCCCAACATGTCCAAACTTTGCAGCGAGGTGCCGAACTCGGTGCGAGGGATGCTCGGATTGGTCAAGAAGCACTCGAACAGCAAGTTCAGCACGTCGAAGGGCCTTCACAAAATTCCTCCTGCATTGGGTGTTGCGCTGGAAAAGCTATTGATGGACCACATTCTGGCAGGTGAGGAAGTTACTCTGGCACACGCCAGCAGCGTCTGCAACTCGCTGCTAGAGCTGTGGAATGAGCAGGTGGAGGCCTTGGTCAAGAGTGTCGGGGAGCAAAAGCTCGCGCAGGCAGACTCCAGCCTGACACCCGGGGCGAACTCCACGGACAGGGCAGCAGTTGCTCAGGCTCGAGCTGCAGCGCGCAGTACAGTACAGTACATACAGTACAGTAGTGCTGTTCTTGTACATTTGTGTGGTAGAAATGGACAGGCGGACTGCAGTTAGCATATGTTTTCGGGCATCGGGTCTCCTGTACAGTACTGTACTGTACTGTAGAAGTATTGTGCTGCAGGAACCGCAACAGCACATGACAGCACCGCTGTTCCCAGTACATTGTACATACGTGACGCTGCGCTGTGCAGTGCAGTACAGAAAGTTGTCCTGTCAGGCGGCAGCGCTGGACTTCGAGCAAGCTTTGCTGCAGCTCCGCCCAATTGTGCTCGCGTCGAACCACGAGTCCTTCAGGCAGTATAGTACTGTACTGTACAGTACAGTAATGTTCTGTGTTGGGCAACAGGCGCGCGCGCGTGTGCTGTTTGTCTTTCCCTGGATCAGGAGGCACGTGCGGAAGGTTTGCACGAGCTTGGGCATCAAGTCACACACCGTGGGCAAGAACACCACAGGCCGCCACCTTCCATATGACCATCCATCTATGGAAAGGGTTCGTCAAGGTGTGGAATTCTTGCGGGCTCGCCACAACATCCGACCGGAGCTGAATCTGGGCTGCTTCAAGATAGGTGCGGCATTCCTGCAGTGTGCAGTAAGTACACACCGGTGCAGTACAAACGTACGCCGTCCATCCTGTTGGTTAACCTGCCAGCATATGCTACAGTAAGCGCACTCTACAGTACAGTACTGCACTGTACTGCACAGGGTCTGGAACAGTAGTACTGTAC